GCCTTCTTTCCCTCTGTGACAGGAAGCTGACTGAAGTCCACAGTGCACCAATCACTCACGCTGGAATACCCAGGCCCTTCTGCTCCCACCTGCTGAATGGCCGCACTCAGCAAAATCTATGGGTGCTCCCGATTTTGAGTGTGTGCTGATCTTTCTTTTCTTTTCTTTTCTTTTTTGAGATGGGGTCTCATTCTCTTACCCAGGCTAGAGTGCAGTGGCATGGCTCACCTAAGCCACCTGGGCTCAGGCAATCCTTCTGCCTCAGCCTACTAAGTAGCTGGGACTACAGTACATGCCACCACATTTGGCTAATTTTTTTCTTTTCTGTAGAGACGAGGTCTCACTATGTTGCCTAGGCTGGGCTCAAACTCCTGGGCTCAAACAGTCTTCCTGCCTCGGCCTCCCAAAGTGCTGGAATTACAGGCATGAGCCACCGCGACTGACCTCGTCTGCAAAAATTAATAGGAAATTCAAGATGATGACAGCAGAGTATTCAACCAAGCATGGGCCGTTCTGCGTGCAAGGCTTTGTGCAACTGTACACACAACCTGACCGTGAAGACCACTGGGTTGCCACTTAGAATTGCCCTTTACTGTGATTGGAAAATCAGTATAACTTTTTTTTAAAGTTTGGTCTGTACCAGTGTACTACCTCTTACAAAAGTCAGCATGAATGGACTTGATTGAAAGTTATTTTTGCCGGGCTCGGTGGCTCAGCCTGTAATCCCGTGCCTTTGGGAAGCTGAGGTGAGTGGATTGCCTGAGCCCGCAGGTTCGAGACCCACCTGGGCAACTTGGCGAGACCTTATCTCTACAATAAATCAAAAAAATCAGCCGGGCATGGTAGCACGCGCCTGTAGTTCCAGCTATTTGGAAGGCTGAGGCGGAAGGATCGCCGGAGCCCAGCAGGTCGAGGCTGCGGTGGCCGGGAGCAGCCACTGTACTCCAGTCTGGGCGACAGAGTGAGACTCCAACTCAAAAAAAGAAAGTTATTTTTGTCGACCAGGTGCAGTGGCTCAAGTCTGTAATCCTAGCACTTTGGGAGACCTAGGTGAGAGGATTGCCTGAGATCAGAGGTTCGAGACCAGCCTGGGCAACTTGATGAGACCTCATCTCTACAATAAAGTAAAAAATAAGCCAGACGTGGTAGCATGTGCCTATAATTCCAGCTACTTGGAAGGCTGAGGCAGAAGGATCGCCTGAGCCCAGCAGATTGAGGCCGCAATGGCTGAGTGTGCCACTGCACTCTAGCCTGGATGACAGAGTGAGACTCCAACTCAAAACAAAACAAAAACAACAACAACAAAAAGAAAGTTATTTTTGTCATTAATTGTACTTTTGATGAAGAAATACTTGAAGAATATTCTTGTGTGGGAATATCCTAATCTTTTTAGATAACTTTATATCCTGACTGTCAGAAATTTAAAGGCCTAGTTTTTGTCCTTTTCCATACCCCATGGCCCTCCAGGAATAATATTCTTGATTCAGTCTATGACTCAAAGGATTCTGGAACGTTTAACTATATCGATTAGGCAAAGGGGTTCAAGTTCTATTTTGGAAAAAAAATAGAAAACAAGAATGAATATAAGTCCTATAGAATAGTTAGGATACTAATATGGGAGATGTTTCTTGCCATGGGGCAATGATATGGAATGAAATTCTCAAGATGCAAGAGTTTACAAAATCTTAATGTGCAAGATGATGTCAAAAAACATCAGCTTTACCTGGGCTCAGACTAATGGAAGGTTCCGACAAGGAAGAAGTAAACAGCAATGGATTCATAACAATGATTTACTGCAAAACAAAACTTCAAGTTGTGGAGAACTCATATATACCATGACACAAACAGATAACGGATGAAGAGGATAAGAAGAGATTAAATTCACAGCCATGAATCAATCATGCAGTGGCTAGAGATGTCAGCTGTGTTGTCTTACATTATAGTGAGGAACAACAGAACCAGCAGCCAATGATGTAATATTAAAAAAGTAGAACCATGGCAAGAAAAATCATACTTCTAAGCAACTTAAGAGTACTTATTTTATTAAATAAACAGTATGCTTTTAATCAGAGCAGAGTGTTTATGGTATATACATGATTTTTATTTCTCACTTTTAATTTTTTCTGTGAACTGCGTAGCGATCACTCAAGTAGGACTTCTTCTGTGGTGTGTGCTTACTTCCTCTGCTGCTACTCTGGTAGAAGTTCTTTTCTTAGCCTTCAGTCAGTAGTTGCTGAATTAATTGAAAAAGTCATTTTATAAGTCTATATCTTCAACATTTTTTAAACTTAAAATATATAACTTATTCATACACTGATTATTTTTTAGTATGTATTAGTTGATTTTAGTTCCTTGAGGCTTTTTTTCATTAACCATGCCATCTTGATTTCCAGTTTCTGTTTAGGGTGAAATGAGAAATTGAAATATTTGCAAAAAAAATTTGAGAGCAAAATCCTTCTGGACTTTTAATGTTTCTTTTTCTTATCCTTTTTCTTTCATTCTCACCTCTCTGTGACCCTAAGAACTATCCCGTCTTCATATTTCAGTTCTGGATATTTCTGGTGATAATCTTGGCACGGTCTATTTGTTCTTGGTTTTCTATGGGGCAAGGGTAACCAGCTTGCTTTCATGACGCCATTTTGGAACCAGAAGTCACTCTTTTTTCTTTCTTTTAAAAAAAAGTTTCTTTGCCCCCGCTGTTTGGCAGTTTGTTTTTGTTTTCTTTTGTTTGTATCTTTTTGGGGGGGTTGGGGGTTTTTTTTAGTTAACTCATTTTGACTCAGGTCCTCATAAAGCATTCACTTTAGTTTTCATAGAAACTGCTCCCCTTTTTCCACAGGTACATTTTGCTGCTTTACATAATCTTTCATTGAATTTTCTGATGAGTATATTTGGTGAAGACAGACCTGAGAAATAACCAGGTCAGGAGTAGTAACAGCAAAGGGACATACTAGAGAAAGTAGACCCTAGCTTGGAGTACACTGTGTGTTACGAGCCCCTGCTGGCATGTTTTAGAGAGAATGCACTGGCTAGTTGGTAAATGGAAACACCCCCTCATGCTGATTGGGCATTATTAGGCAAATAAATCCCACTGCCCAGTTTGGAGTATCTCCCATACAACTGCCTACAGGGAAAACCAGCATGAGTCACAAACCTCTCTTCGTCACCTCTGATTGGTTGCTCACTCTTGAAATCTACTTTTTCACTGTGCCTAGGTCTTGGCTTCTCTGGAGGGACCCTGGGTGGGGGAGGACTCCCCCAAGGAATTTCCTGTATGCCAGTTGGTATTTTAGTCAGACCATCCAAAACATGTCTTCTGATTTTCGGGGGAAATCTCTTCCTAGGGAATGGCAGCATAAACTTCATTTTATTTGTAGAAACTATTGTTAAGCGGAGTCATCACAACAGAGAAGTAAAAAGGTAAGGAAGATGGGTGACCGGTGAGGAGTCCTTTTGATGTTCACCTCCCCTGGCCAGTGGAAAAGATTCTGCTCATGATGCTAAGTGTTGGGAGTTTCTAGATCTGTTTGCTTTGCAGCACTTATTTTCACCCGGGAAATTTCTGCAGCATCCGTTTTTAAAATGGAAGCATACTAAGTAGCAGGTTTCCTAACGTTTGCCGAATTATTTGTTTTTCAAAAGGTCCATTCATTAAAGACTCGCTACATTTAGTCACCTACAAAGAATGACAGGCCCCCCTTCAAGCTTCAGAAGGGAAGAGTGATTTATAGAATTTTTTTTTCCTGTTTTGTTTTCTGTATCTCTGTTTTTCCAGGAGAATATATATATATTTACTATTAAGGAAGTTTTTTAATCTCTGCTAAAAAACGGGGCCCACCTGGCCCTATGATCCTCCAGGGCTGAACTGTCAGGGACCTTCATGGAAGGTGGAAAGAATGAAGACACCCAGGGTGACAAAGGCCTCAGATGGGAGTCTGGTCAGAGGAGGGAGGTGGGAGGTCTGCTCTGTGACGACAGCTAGGCCATTAACGTGTTTGCTGCATATTGATCACACACACACACACACAACTTCTGTAAGGTCTGAATCTTGTCTGTGATTCTGCAATCCAGTGTTTGCTGCATATTGATCACACTCACACACACACACACACACACACACACACACACACAACTTCTGTAAGGTCTGAATCTTTTCTGTGATTCTGCAATCCAGTGTTTGCTGCATATTGATCTCACACACACACACACACACACAACTTCTGTAAGGTCTGAATCTTGTCTGTGATTCTGCAATCCAGTGTTTGCTGCATATTGATCACACACACACACAACTTCTGTAAGGTCTGAATCTTGTCTGTGATTCTGCAATCCAGTGTTTGCTGCATATTGATCACACACACACACACACACACACACACACACACACACACACACAAACTTCTGTAAGGTCTGAATCTTGTCTGTGATTCTGCAATCCAGTGTTTGCTGCATACTGATCACACACACACACACACACACACAAACTTCTGTAAGGTCTGAATCTTGTCTGTGATTCTGCAATCCAGTGTTTGCTGCATA